TATTACAAAGTAAAATAATTTGTAATAATAAAATAATTTCTTTCTAACAAATGTTAATGTAAGAATAATATATTCATATATAATAATATTTATTTATATCATAAATAGTAATATATTATTAAAGTACTATTAATAAACTCTAATATATTAAAAACTATATTATATTATATAATATTAAAATATTTATGATATATTAATTTATTTATAACATACTAGTAATAACATAATAATAACATTATTAATAATATTATATTATATGAATAATAGTATAATATTATATTAATAATAAAATAATATTATTATAAAAATATTAATATAATATACAAAAATAACAAATTGATATAACAAAATAATTAAATATATAATTATTTGAAAATAATATGTAATAATTATAATATAATATAACTCATTAAAGTACAATATAATATTATAATACATTATACAATATTATATTGCATTATATTTAATACTTATAATACTATAATAATGTAAACTAAATATTATAACATTTTATTTATAATATATTTTATTATAATTAATATATAATATATTAATAATATGTTTAATACTAATGTTGTAATGGGTCAAACTAGTGTTGACCAAAAACACTTAACATGGTGTTTTGAAAACATTTTAAGGGAGAAACACAACACTATGATGTTTTTTTACAAAAACACAACAAGAAAAATACCATGGTATCCAAACGAAGCCTAATGTTTGGAGTTTGTAGGAGGAAAATACATTAAAATTTGTGCTTATTATATGTTGGCTTTTCTTCAGAACAAGCTAGTATTAATATGGCTTCCTCTGGCCAGTTCAAATTTTTTTGGTGTGGAACCACTCGTTAGTATATGCGAAGTTATCTCTTCTTACTCTTTGACGATACTAAAATATTTCAGTTATTACATATGGGGGGAAATAGGTAGATAACTTAACCCCTCTAATCAAATATTGAAAGTAAGAGAATTTGACTATAATATTTCTTGTTACAATTTTGGTTTTTTGCCAATCAAACAAGGAGGAAATTTGACCAAAAATTAAATCACAATAGCAACAATTTAAAACCTTTATCTAAAATTTTTAGAGCCGGTTCCGTAAATCACGTTATTACATTCACCTTTGTAGTTGATCATTTTCTAATGTTGAACTAACTATTATGACTCTTCTTAGTTGCTTCTAACAAAATTCGTCTAGATATTCAATCCGCAATATTATTATTTCCCGTGGTGCATTTAGTGACTTTCTTTTTACATGACCAAACATAAACGATTTTTCTCTCGCATTAGCATTATTCATGATACCAACAACATCTAATTTTTCATATTATCCATATTTTAATGTATAAGCACGATACCTGCGTGTAACTATTTCATTTTGCCACAGTTCCCTAATTTGAGAATGCAATAATTAAGGGATGATAATGTGATCTAATCTCCATCATTGCGCAGCTGACCAAAATAAGCAAACCACAGTACAAAGATAATAGAGCCCATTACAGGCCCATGTGATCCGTACCAACAACTAGTATATACCCCTGTCCCATCCTTGTACTCCCCGCCCTAATTTACCGTTATACCCCTGCCTTGTTAGGCTCACCCTGCTGGGCCCCACAACGCCACCCATCCTCCTTAAAAACAGTGAGCCGTTGGGCCACGATGCATGTGCAGCCCTAGGGGCATTTCAGTCCAAACAAAATCACAGGGCCGGATTCTGCCGTCCACGTCAGCGTCCAGCCGGGACTTCTTGTCGTTTTTTGTTTGACCTGGTCTAATTATTTGGTCCTTTTCGAAAGTGCATTTACGCTTTTTTTTCCTGACACTTAAATGCTTGCAGAGCCAAGAGAGAGAAATTAACACTGAGAGAAACAGAGCACTGGAGGAGAGAAAAATATACTATCTTTGATCTCTCTCTCTCTCTCTCTCTCTTCAAAGAGAGTTTTTAGAGAGAGAAAGTGAAGGAGAAGAAGAAGGGGGGTTTCTTTTTTTCCTCTCATTTTCTCTCTCCTCTCTCTCTGTTGCTCTTTTATTGATGAAAGAAGAAAATTTTGGATACAGGTCACTCTCTCTCATCCCTCATTGCTCTGCTCATTTCTCTTCTGTTGCCTTTTACTGTTTTTCCCCTATACTTTGCTGAAGTGCGTTTAGTCTGTACTTCCTTTTTTTAGGGTTAGGGGCATTCATTGTTGGCCAACTGCTCTCTACTTGTTGAGGAATCTTTAGCAAGAGAGGATTTTTATTTTATTTATTTGTTCTCCCTTAATTGGGGGTCGGTTTCTGAAGTGGGTTTTGGGAATTGTTGGGTTTTCTGGAGGAAATGAAGGTTTTTGGCATCTGGGTATTGGTGGAACTGATGAATGTGACTAGATTTTTTATGTGGGTTTTGTTTAATTTTCAGGACTAGGGTTTTGGGCTCGGGGTTCTGTTGAAGATTAGCGGGGGGGAAAGCTTCCTTTTTTTTTTTAAGTTTCTCAGTGTATTTGGCAAAGGGCTCTATCAATATAAATTTATATAAATTTCTCTTTGAGTTCAGTGCCTTGAGAATTTTGAATGAGAAGCTGAAATAGAGCCTCTAGCAATAGAGAAATGGGCTGTGCTCTATCAAAACATGAAGGGGATGAGGCTCTTTTCCTCTGCAAAGAGAGAGTTCGATTCATAAAACAAGCAATGGATTCGAGATTTGCTCTATCAGCAGCTCAGCTCTCTTATACCCAATCCCTTCGGAGTGTAGGAATGGCTCTAAGACAATTTGCAGAATGTGAGAATTTAGTAGAATCATCTCTATCAACTTCAGAGCCTGATAAAACTCCATCTCATTCATCTTATGCTTCGCCTTCGCCTTCTGGGATTCCTGAGCAAATTATCTCTCCTAGAAATAGTGGTAGTCCTCTGTCGCCTCGGTTATCAAATACGAGTTATATGAGAGCAACCACAAATTCTCCTCTGAAATTCACAGTTGATTCATCTTCTAACAGTCATTTTGTCGAAGAGGAGTCACTCACTTTTCCATTTCCTCCCCCTCCTCCACCGCCACCATTGGATTCGGGTTTTTCATGGGACTTCTTTGATCCTATTGATGCAAAGGGCAATGCCAAAGTCTCTAATGGAGGAAGCGGCATAAACGAAAACTTTAGCAGATTGGTGGGTCTGAATCATGAGAAGGAAGAGGGTATGGCTACTATAATCGAAGAGGAATTGAGGCCAATTCAATCTAATGAGGAGTTTAGATGGGCCAAGGATAATTCAAATGGTAATGATTGTGGTTCTACTAATGGTAATGGCAGTGAGAGACCTGCTGTTTCTAAAGAAAACGAATTTGTTGATGATAGCAGACATAAAACTAATAAGGGGAGTATCGATGAAGCTGTTGAAGTTTTTCCAAGAGCGAATTCAGCTGAGTTAAACAAATCAAAGGGGGAGAAGGATGGGATGGATAAAGAACTGTGTACTGCAAGAGAGGATGCTTCTAAGTTCATTACTCATAGGGCTAAAGATTTTGCTTCCAGTATAAAAGACATTGAGCACCGGTTCGCCAAGGCAGCAGAATCCGGTCATGAGGTTTCAAGGATGCTCGAGACGAAGAAAATCAGGCTTAGTATCTCTTCTGAGATTATAGGTGAGTTCTGTCATGTGTAACAATGGCTTTAACATACTCTTGGGGAACCCAAGGCTTAACACGTTTTTTAGGTTAAAGCTTTCTCTAATTTACATCTTGCATCTGCAGGAAAATCTTCTACTTCTATATTTATGTCAGTCCTTTATCCACCCTGTTGCATAGGAGGGAATGCAGCTGAAAATGGTAGGTTGATTATGTACCCTGGAGAAATTTCAAACCATAACTGATGAGTGTTAATGATACATTTCTTGTTGGACTTTGTTTTGGATAGATGATGAGTTTTACTTCAATATTAATGTGATAGATGATGAGTTCTACTTCAATATTAATGTTTTATCATGTAGGAACTGCCCCTCATATGACAAAGGTTATTACTTGGAATCGGTCAATTTCATCACAATCATCATCATCTAGAATTCCTCTTACATCGGCATCAAAAGACGATTGTGGTGAAAGTTGCAGTGATTTTATTGAAGAGTTTTGTATGATTTCTGGAAGCCACTCATCAACATTGGATAGACTGTATGCATGGGAAAGAAAACTATATGACGAAGTGAAGGTATTTTGGTCTAAATCTCTACGTGCATTTTCCTTGATCTTCTTTTGTCATAAACCAGTGCATCATTTCATGATTCATACTTTTCTTGTTTGAACTAGGCAGTCAGTCAGCACGTCTCTAGTGATGCTTAATTCTTATGTTTTGTTAGATATTTTTACTTGTTAGCTGCTTTTGTTGAAAGAATTATAACTTATTAGACAAATTACTGTTTTTTGAAGGGGGAAAAAAGATGGCTGTGTTCTTGAAACACATACACATCCATGAATTTGAGGTTTTAATGGCCATATGGGAGGTATCTTTTCCATAACTTAGTTTATACATAAATTTGTATGGGAAAAAATGGCATGAGATGAGAATGTGATTCCGTAAATGAGCTACAGAGCAATAGACCTGTGGTATAGTTCATCCTTCTAGTTTTATCATACGCAATATGCCCAACATAAATTGATGATTGTCCTTTAATCTAAAACACATGGAAGAATGGATACATGAAGGAAATGATTCCCATTTTGATTTGACAACACTGCCGTCAGCCGTCTCTATTACATGTACCGCTAACCTTGATTGTAGGTAGTTAAAAGCCATGATGCATTTTCACTTCTCCTCACTCAACTTTGATGCTTCATAATCATATATACTTGTACATGAAGTCCTTTTTTCTCCTTATGCATTGGAGACCATCTATATGGCTTAGACTTTTTCAAAACTGTTCCTTTGTGTCTCTGGTTACTATGTCAATATGGAAGCATCAGTACCTTTGTTTTTTCGAAGTTACGATGGTGTCTGAATTTAATGGATCTAAACCAAAAACCTGTACTCTGGGAGAAAAAATTTGACAATGATGTAAGGACACTATTTTCCATCAACCAATTCTATGTTTTAATGAATGTCTATAATCACACGTCCTGTTCGTCAAACTTATTACCTCTACTAGTCACTTAAAATTCAAAATGTTCAAGCAGTAATAGGGTATAAATTAGGTAACCATGGTAAGTTATATCATAGGTTTTAATGATATTCAAAGAAGCACCTTCAAAGAAGAAGCTTCTACATTGAGTTAGGTAAATCAGTGTAGACTCTGTTCTAACATAGAAATATGGGCCCGTTGGCGTGTGCAAGCCGTGGAACCCACTGAGAGCAACTCGATATTGGCTAACATCCACTGTCAAAATGCTAGCACTAGTTATTCTTAGGTCTTGGATTTTTTTCTATTTAAGCCACCAATATTTCTTCACACTAGTCCATGTAGGACTAAAGTGAGGGTGTCACAATCATCTCACCTTACAAAGACGACGTCATTGCCGTCACGACATGACAATTGGCACATCACAGTGTCACTGTCAGGCGATATGGACTCCAGAGGTGGCTCCTACGGGCTCTAGACGTGGCTCCCACCGCATTCACGCGGTGTAGCACTTAACAATGTATAGTACTTAGCTCCATGCTTCCGGTTGACAAGTGCTCTGATACCATTTTGTCACGTCCCGGGCCCACGGGTCCGTTGGCGCGTGCAAGCCGTGAGTCCACGGAGAGCAACTCAATGTTAGCTTACGGGCCCACGGGTCCGTTGGCGCGTGCAAGCCGTGAGTCCACGGAGAGCAACTCAATGTTAGCTTAAATCCACTGTCAAAATGCTAGCACTAGTTATTCTTAGACCTTAGGCTTTTCTCTATTTAAGCCATTAATATTTCTTCGCACTAGTTCATGTGGGACTAAAGTGGGGATGTCATAATATATCAGAGCAGTTGCTAACTGAAAGTCCGAAAGTGTGGAGCTAAGTGCTATACGGGGTTAAGTGCTACACCGTATGGATACGGTGTGAGCCACCTCTAAAGCCCGTAGTGGGAGCCACCTCTAAAGCCCGTAGGAGCCACCTCTAAAGTCCACATTGCCTGGCAATGATTGTGATGTGTCAATTATCATATGTCGTGATGACGAGGACATCGTCTTTGTAAGGTGAGGTGATTGTGACACCCTCATTTTAGTCTCACATGGACTAATGTGAAGAAAGGTTGGTGGCTTAAATAGAGAAAAACTCAATGTTCAAGAGTAACTAGTGTTAGTATTTTGTCAGTGGATGTTAGCCAACATCGAGTTGCTCTCGGTGAGTCACACGGCTTGCACGCGCCAACGGGCCCGTGGGCCCGAGACGTGATAAAAATCAAAATGCTAGCACTAGTTGTTCTTGGGTCTTGGGCTTTTTTTTGTATTTAAACCACTAATATTTCTTCACACTAATCCATTTAGGACTAAAAGGGGGGTGTCACAATCACCTTACCTTACCAAAATAATGTCATCGTCGTCACGACATGACAATTGGCACATCCCAGTATCACTTGCCAGGCGATGTGGATTTTAGAGTGGCTCATATGGGCTCTAGAGGTGACTTTCACCGCATCCATGCGGTGTAGCACTTAGCCCCATATAACACTTAGATCTATATTTTTGGCGGGCAACTGTTTTGATACTATTACTCACGCCTCGGGCCCACGACATGCTCGCGTTAATTGGCCTGTGGGCTCGAGGTGTGACAAATGGTATCCGTGCAGTTGTCGACCGGAAGTGTGGAGCTAAGTGATATACGGGGCTAAGTACTACACCGTGTGGATACGGTGGGAGCCACCTCTAGAGTCCACATCGCCTAGCAGTGACACACGGTGGGAGCCACCTCTAGAGTCCACATCGCCTAGCAGTGACACTAGAATGTGCTAATTGTCATGTCGTGACGACGAGGACGTCATCTTTGTAAGGTGTGGTGATTGTGACACCCCCATTTTAGTCCCACATGAACTAGCGTGAAGAAATGTTAGTGATTTAAATAGAGAAAAACCGAAGGTCCAAGAACAACTAGTGCTATCATTTTGACAGTAGACTTTAACCATAATCGAGTTGCTCTCGGTGGGTTCCACGGTGACGGGCGTGTGGGATTTATCAATACTAAAATTTAAATAAGCTATCGTCAAAAACGACGATTAAGAAACATAATAATTCGAATAAGAGGAATTTTCAAAATGATAAGTTTTCTACTCACTAAGTGTAAACTCACCCCGTTGTTTTTCAATCTTCTTCAGATGAAAATTAGATAGTTTTATCTGTATCTCAGAGCTTTGGAACATGAGAATGATCTTTTAGGGTGTTTGATGCTGAAAATTAAAGTTATACGAATCTTGTTACTATGCATATGTAATAAGAGTCTTTTGACTCATTAGAGTGAACTTGTTATAATGTAGTTTTGCTCTGAGACTTCTCTATTTGTCAATAAAATTTCTTTTAAAATGAAGTTTATTATATTATGGAAGTGTACCGCAGGCTTATGCTTTGTGCACGTGTTGTCGTTGTCATGCATCTCAAAATAAGTTGTGCATTTTGGGGGCGTGACAGCTTCCATCTTTATTGTTATTCTGTTTCAATGTAATCCAAGGTTATCTAACCTCCCAATCTTCCATAATTGCATATTTACCCCCTAAATCTTCATAATTGCCAATACACCCTTCAATCTTACATAATTGCATATTTACCCCCCAAATCATCATAATTGCCAGTATACCCTCCAAATGTTCAATTTTGAGCTATTATACCCTCCAAATGCAACAGAGTTGCTAAATTAACGGGGTATGGATCAGTGACCAAAATGACCCTCTACCTCTTCCCAACTGCCACAATCCCTTCACCTTTCCCCTTTTCCCAATTGAAGTGATGGCAACTATGAACATTTGTGTGTGTTTTTTTTTGGTGGGGGGATGCAATTATTGGACATTTGGGGGTTATATAGGCAGTTATGATTTTTTTTTGGTGGGGGACCCGGGGTGGGGGCAGTTTATATTGGCAATTATGAAGATTTGGAAGGTAACTATGCAATTGCAGAAGACTTGATGGGAATATAGCTAAATAACCCTATAATCAATTTGTGAGAGCCTTAGAAATTTCTTTATTATGTTAGTACATTATCTAGAAACATCTTTTAAAATTAAACAGATGTAATTGCCAGGACAAGTTTATAGAGTAGCCTTATTAGGTTTTGTCATCCAAACAAGCTTCTCGTAAAGTCCCTTTTGATGGAGTTCACCTTCTGGTAAAAATTTCATGTTTGAAGTACTACTATATGGAGCTAGTACTCAGTTTTCATTTGCACTAGCTCATATCAGCAATTGGAATCTACTTCTATAATACAGTTGAAACATCTTCTGTAGATAACTCGTGTTGGCTAAAAATTCATTTCACTTAGATCATGTATATAAGTCAAATTTGTTTTTATTTTTTGATGAATTTAAACATCTAAAACTTGGCTACTCACATTATTACTATCAGCTATATGATACATATATGCTTCACGGAGTTCTTTCCCACCTAAATTCTCTTCACATAATGTTTATCAATTGAGTTATTATGAATTTTATCCGATTTCCGAACATCATAATTTTAGTTCTTGCGGATGACGGTCATTGTGAACTATAAGGTATTGGTTTCACGAAGAATCATTTCCTTGCCTCTTTTTTCTCAATTTTCTTTTTGGACTGTCATATATGCACTCAACCTTTTTTTTTTGGTGGGGGTTGGGATAAGTATAGGATCTTATTACCAAATAGTAATGAAGGTCAACGTCATTTGTACATGAACAAGAGCAGCTCAAAAACAAACTGAGCACTCAAAAGACCAACAAAAAAGGACTCCAGCTATCTTTCAACTATCTAAAAGCAGAACTGTCAAGAAAGATAGACACAAACTTTACTGCAGTGTTTAGGAAAAAGAATAGGGTATATCTTCAAGGCAGAGCACCATTTCCTGTTTGCTTCAGTATCTTTGAGCTTGAGAAGTCACTGCAATAAACTTCACTTCATAAGTGACAAGCTCCATGCACTCCATTGCTGTTACTTGATCTTTAACTGCACCTAACTTGGTCGCATTTGGGGAACCTTTTAGGCTAGTGAGGCCATCAGGAAGGCATATGATCAAAAATGTGCCCAGCTCAGACACCAATTTGCCAAGGATATGAATGTCCAAGTGATTGATAAAACACGAGCTACTGTGAAGGATCTCCACTCACGAGTAATGGTGGCAATTCAGGCAGTTGACTCAATATCTAGAAGGATTGAGATGTTGAGAGATGAAGAATTGCAGCCACAACTGTTGGAATTGATACAAGGGTATGACTTCTTTACCTAGTTTTGTGTCATTCATTTACTTAATTGACGATTCATAAAAGTTGGTATTTTTGGATTCTTACCTCAAATGAAATATAAAAGTTTGGCTCATGAAATCTGTTTGTTGTGTGTGCATGTGTGTATCACATGTGTAATATCTTGAACCTTAAGAAAGATTTTGGCATATACTTGTTGAATCTTAGGAAGTGAATGCAGGAAGTAGGTTTGGGGCACATAATACTGGAAAACTTGAATAGTTTCATTGATTAATATTTTTTATATTATATTTAGACTCACATAAATTCTTCTAACTCCATTGATTAATGCTCGAAAAGTTAAAATATGCGGCGTGATGCTCAGATGTAGATTCATGGTCTTTGTAGAATGACTTGAAGAATTTCATTCATTAATGTTTATACTTTCATGTACAAATTAACACAAGCGGAGGCAGACCAGATCCCCTACACAACCACAAATCACAGACCTTCAGTTTTTATAGACATGCAGCGAACTGTTGCTTAAATCAATGAATTTTATACAAAATAATCATGGAACCTCAGTTCTTATTCACATGCAACAACCCGTTGCATAAATCATCTGAATCTAAAAACATATGAAATATTACCATATAAATCCTTATGGTTCATTACAACTTGGTACTTATGATAATAATTGCATCTTGTGATAGTTCGGTTACTACTATCTTCTTTTGCTACTTGAGAACTGGTGCGTAAAAGCTCAAGCAATTCACTAAATAGAATCAAGAAAAAATGGCCAAATATATAGTGGCCCCAGGGACTACATTTTCTGAACATTATGTTAGCCTTCTCTGGATATGCTTTTTTGTGTGGTTTACTGCTAGATGGATATTCTTATTGATATTTCCACATATGTTGGTCGCTATGTCAAAATAAATGATACATCTGACTGTTTCTGGGGATTTTGATGATTCAAATAGTAATTGGGAACTTATGATTCTTTGAAAGGCTGCATGACCTAGTTCTAGAACACTATGATCCGTGACGTATGCATTTCACTTCAGCATTTGAATTCTAAGGTATTATCGCTTAAATTTCATTTTCACTATTGCAGCTTAATCCGAATGTGGAAAGCTATGCTCGAATGCCACCATGCGCAACACATCACCATCTCACTAGCCTACCACATGAAAGCTTCAACAGCATCACAACACAGTGAATCATACAAGCAGACAATCGCACATCTTCAAAATGAAATTGAGTGTTTCACCTCAAGCTTTGAGAATTGGGTGGATGCTCAGAGATCATACGTCCAAGCTCTCAACTCCTGGCTTCAGAAGTGCATCTTGCCTCCTCAGGAACGGTCCTGGAGAAGGAGGGTTCCTTTCTCTCCTCGCCGAGCCCTTGCTCCCCCTATCTTCGTTCTCTCTGCTGATTGGTTGTCTGGAATCAACTCGCTTCCTTCGAAAGAGGTTACTGATTCTCTAAAACGGTTGGTATCGGATCTTCACAATTTGTTTGAGCATCAGAAAGAAGAGAAAGAAGAAGATCAGAAGCCTGAGATCAATAGAGAACAGGAGCAGGAGGCAAACACGGAAGAGAAATGTGAAGGGAGAACAAATTTCGCAAGGTTGCAGGCGAGTCTAACGAGACTGTTTGATCAGCTGACGAAGTTCTCCGAGGCTTCAGCGAAAGTGTGCGAGAATGTGAAGAAAGGAACGGAAGAGGCTTGCGATGCGTATATCAACGGTGGGCGGTTCAGATTTCATCAGGGGTTGGATGCATTGCCTTTGTAAATCTTGTTTTTTCGTTTTCGAGATATTTTGTATGGATCAGTTGTGCTCTTTTAAGTTTTATTGGAAAGAGTACTGGGAAAATTGCAGGTGCTGATACGAGGCAGCCGTGATTTTTTTTTTTTTCCTTTTTTTTGGATAACAGTTAAATTTCTTAGCTCTTAGTACTCAAACTTTATGTTTGATTTTGACTCCTAATCTGAGTGAAATTTTGGTAAACATTACCTCAAATTGGTGAGCGTACCTAAGGGTAATTCTTCATTCTAGGGTCTATTTAGCAAAATCAAGCTCCACAGGGGGTTACGCACGATAACCCCTTCTTAACCCACACTTACATTTTGTTCTATCCTCTGCTTTCATCCCTTCTAAGATATTTCTTTGCATCAAAGCGATAGAGAGCGCTTCTCTTTAATTTCCTTGACAGACGCATGAACTTTTCGCAAACAAACTGAAGTTAAACCAACGTACATACATCCCGTTCGTATAAAAGAATACGTAACGGAATTACAAAACATTCACACTACGAACGCTTTCATTACCTCCAGGGAAAAATGATACTCCTGCCCCTACGACCCTCAGATACTGGAAGCTGATAAAACGACGTAATACCGAGCATCATATTATTCACAGGGCAGTTCACAGGCCGGAGCCACACGCGCATGCAAAACAACCAGCCACAAAACAAGCAACAAAGAAATGTATGTAACTAGTGCACTCTTGACTCCAATTCGCAGTTATAATATGACTGTTAGATAATATCATGAGCCACCCTATATGTATGTGTAGCCACCATATATGTATGTATAGCCGCCTCCTAGTGTGAGTTATGTATGTGTAGCCACACTATCATGAGCCATCCTATATGTATGTGTAGCCACCCTATATATATGTATAGCTGCCTCCTAGTGTGGGCTATGTATGTGTAGCCACCCTATAGTCATCCTATATGTATGTGTAGCCACCCTATAGCCATCTTATATGTATGTGTAGCCACCCTATAGCCATCCTATAGTCTCCTCCTAGTGTGGGCTATGTATGTGTAGTCACCATATATGTATAGCTGCCTCCTAGCGTGGGCTACTGATTGATGGGTTATCTGGTATGTGTGTATATATATAAACCTGTCAATCTAATTATCAATATTAAGTTCTCTTCAATACCAACTTTGCATGGTATCAGAGTCATCCTCTTTATTCTAGAGAGACCACTTCCTTCTCCCTCGATATCGGCGTCACCGAGGGGTTTCCCCACGCTTCCCCTCGGCGGCTTCGACTATCTATAGCCCTCACCACTGGGCAGCACTCATCCCCGACAACCACAAATGGCACAAACCGTTTGACCTCAACCTAGATGTACACGAACGCGCACCCGTCTCGAGGCTTGTGAGCCAAATCGAATGTGAATGTCTGAGCACCTTCCGGGGGCGTAGACCCGAACCTGAAGCAGCACCTCCCGGCCATCTCCTCCAGTCAGCGCAAACCAGTCAAACAGGTCAACGGCTCTCATCGTGGCAATCACGTGTCAAGCCTCCCCCATAAGCAAACCTAGTCTCGCAGCGCGCACTTCACAATCGTGATACCTCCGCAAATCTGCATCGTCAGGCGCCAGGCATGTCGCCGACACAATCGGTTCCATAGGCTCGTCGCGTTTCCAGCCGGAACCGACCGCCTACCCGCCTTGGCCGGCTCCAAACTGCACCAACGCCCAATCAACAACAGCAGCTGACCTCGACATCCTCGACACCATGTTCCTTGATTACACTGATATCTTTGACAGCCGCTCGATCCCTGCCGACCGCCGACCTCAACTTCCAACTGAGATTAGTCACCTACAACAACCTCCACGCCTCCACACTAATGACGACCTCACTAATCTCGACATCTGGTCGCTCCAATAGATTACCGTCCTTGTCCTCATCCCCGTCCCCGTCCCCGTCCAGATCCAACCCTCTGGCCGACCGCTACTCAACGACACTGCCGCTTGACCACACAACTGCTCGTTCTCAACCTTCGCTCTGACTACGCCACAGTCCCTCTCCACACTTACCTATGGCGTGCCCTCGAGGTGTTTGACAGAATGCTCTTGAGACTTTGCATCTTGGATCTGCCCCACTCATCGTTCACCACCACCTCGTGGATCCTCTTTGCGCTATGCATCAAGACAACCCCGGTCTTCGGCTCATCCCGTCAAGAGACAACAGTTCGGGTGCAAGGTGGTGTGACTACCACGAAGCATCAGGTCATTCACGAACAGATATTGCACTTAACGGACCGGCTCTCTCTCACAGTCTTCGCTCGTAGTAAAACCCTAGTCCTAACCTCGCCGCAATGACATTGTTCATCAATGGGTTACTGTTCATCAACCTCATCGCATGCACACAAGGTGTTCGATGAATTGCCTCAGCGAGATTTCTCCCTCCTTGGCCAGCGTCTGGCCCAGCTGTCTCCAGCCAAGCGTTTTCCACTCACTAATACTTGCAAGATCCGGTCATCTGGCCCAGCTGTCTCCAGCCAAGCGTTTTCCACTCACTAATACTTGCAAGATCCGGTCATCATGCCTCCTCTTGCAACTATAGGTCCGCCCTCTCGCGACCACCATGCGTGATCGCCGAGCACGCCTCAGCGAGATTTCTCCCTCCTTTGCCAGTGTCTGGCCCAGCTATCTCCAACCAAGCGTTTTCCACTAACCAATGCTTACAAGATCCGGTCACCGTGCCTCCTCTTGCAACTACAGGTCCGCCCTCTCGCGACCACCATGCGTGACTGCCGAGCACTGCTGCAACATCATAGCTCTTGCAAGATCCAATCACCATGCCTTCTCCTGTGACTGCTGGTTCGTCCTCTTGCAACTACGATGCATGGCTATCAATCACCACTGCAATAACATGATCTCGCCGCTTGTAATTCCAACCACCAATGTGCTCCATTTCAACCACCTCTCGCCAAGCTATGCCAACAACTATCTATTCATATCCTATCATCCTAATTTCAACAAGTCTAAGCTTCCTATTCACCATTTGGGATACAAGCCTAAGCCAAATTCTCTTCATGTCGAGCTTCTCCTCAATGTTCTATTGAACATAAGTGCACCTGTTGGCCTTCAATCGAGCTCCTTATTCATATCGGTGACCTTTCAAAACTCATTGCCGTCACATCCGGAATTTCGGCTAAGACTCAAGTCTCTTTCTTTTATGCGAGATATCTTCTTCACGGCCTCAACATCAACTATTGAGATTTTCCTCGCAACGAGCTTCTCCTCTTCACGGTCTCGACATCGACTCTGCCTCAACATCAACTATTGAGATTTTCCTCGCAACGAGCTTCTCCTCTTCACGGTCTCGACATCGACTCTCAATATCTTCTCCGTCGATGTACAAACCTCGCAACGAGCTTCTCCTCTTCACGGTCTCGACATCGACTCTCAATATCTTCTCCGTCGATGTACAAAGATTTCTATCCCTCGCCGTTCAATCTTGTTGCCACTACAAATTTCTCCATTGATGTACAAGGATTACTATCCTTGCTGTTCATCTCGTCGACATTGAGTTCCTCCATCGATGCTCTTGGATTCCTATCCTACCTGATCGATCATACAGCCATTGGGTTTCTCTTATCGGTACTCCTGTATTACATCCTATATTATCGATTTCGTCACCACAGTTAAGACTCTTTCATCGACTCTCAGACACGTGTCTTTTGCAAATTCCGCTCTTTTTATCCAAACTCTTGGTGTTCGATCCACCGTGAGTTTGAAGGGGGTGTTAAATAATATCATGAGCAACCCTATATGTATGTATAGACGCCTCCTAGTGTGGGCTATGTATGTGTAGCCACCCTATCATGAGTCACCCTCTATGTATGTGTAGCCACCCTATATATATGTATAGTCGCCTCCGAGTGTGGGCTATGTATGTGTAGCCACCCTATATGTATGTATAGTCGCCTCCTATGTATAGTCGTCTCCTAGTGTGGGCTATGTATGTGTAGCCACCCTATATGTATGTATAGTCGCCTCCTAGTGTGGGCTAAGTATGTCTGTATAGCCGCATTCTAGTGTGGGCTATATATGTGTAGCCACCCTATATGTATAGTCGTCTCTTAGTGTGGGCTACTGATTGATGGGTTGTCTGGTATGTGTGTATATATAAACCTGGAAATCTGATCATCTATATCAAATTCTCTTCAATACCAACTTTATAATGACCTAGCCAACGGTGCATACTCCGAGAAAGTCTCCACCACCATGGGCTTGGTCGGAACCATCTTCACAAAACCAGCATCTCCATTCTTCAAGAACTTAGGCTCGCTGATCTGGTCCAACGCTTCAAGGAGAGTTGGGCCCTTGAACCACTCCAGGTTGGTGGATCTCTCGATCATGTTGTCTCCTTCGAACCCGGAGATGGGTACATAGGGAATCTTGTCAGGGTTGTAGTCAACCTTCTTGAGGTAGGAAGACACTTCCTTCACGATTTCATCATACCTTCCCTTTGAAGACTTGGGGGTCGTGGCATCCATCTGTCAGTGAACATACAGACATCGGTTGGAAACCATATGCACATATTATAAGATATGGTTAGAAACTGTATGCACATATTATAAGATATCATAATGCAATAATTTGCTTCACGAACAGAAACAGACATGCACTGATAAGGAGGTAACATGTGCAAACATTAGCAACAAACGTGTATTAACTAATATCATCACAGTAAAATAGTATGCTCTGTTGTAAAATTGTTTTCAGAAGTCTATTTGCTGAAAAATCTGGCTCATAAAACTTAATCCAAGTGACACACAATGAAACAACTAAATCTCCATCGTTGAGGGCACGCATCAATTTGCTTCACAAACAGAACAAACAAGCACTGAGAAGAAGGAAACAAATGCAAACATAATGAAGAAAACATGTATTGGAAATAATGACATTATCATAGTAAATAGTATGCTTGATTACAAATATTACTCGAAAAGCTTACTTGTAGGGCCACACGACATTAAAACCAAACCGCCAATATTGAGTCAGAAAACAGAACATATATTAAAATCCTGAATTTTGCTGCAGCTATCTGCTTTTGAATAAGATGCCAACCCGCTTTTAGCATGTAAAAAAAGGATTCGGATCCTCTCCACTACAAAAAAAACAGTGGAGAGACCACTACATAATCACGGCCATTGATTATCTAATTAATGGTTGTGATTTTTTTTTTTAGTGTAAATTAGGAATGAGTGCAATACACGGGGGTTTGGTAAGTGTTAGATTTAGATTGTATCATAACCGCCTACCAAATAATCAACGATTGAGATTAAAAGTAGTGATCTCTCCACTACTTTTTTGTAGTGGAGAGGATCCAAATCCGTAAGCAGCAAAAAAGGAAACGCAAACCATTATTAGAAATCTACAGTCAATACTTAAAGGGGCACAATATTGTAATGCTAAATTAGTATACTCTATCAGAAAGATGCTATCACAAATATTACCAATCTATTTCCTGAGCAGTATATCTTAAATTAAAGGGACATAAAAATACAAATCAATTGAGTCTTCAACTTTGCAAGACAGAAAAATAACATATCAACTAAATCTACAATTTGCTTTAGCTGTTTATTTTGTTTAATTAGGACGGCAGCCAATTTCAAATTGTCAATATAACTATCCTTCATTCTTCTTATGAAGTACGTATTGGTAAACTAGCAATAAAAAGATACTATGGAGAACTACAGCAACAAGTGAACATCCACTTGAAATTATAATATTTCCAGCAAATTATAGACCTAACTAAAGTTTTAAAACAAAATCCATATCGAACACAGCTTGTTTGAGACATAACAAGCCCAAAGAACAGTAGAAGATACTAGTGAACACAAATGCAGAGTAAGGATGTACTTACTTTGTTACAGCAGCAGATCATCTGCCTCACTCCAAGAGTGAAGGCAAGAAGAGCATGCTCATGAGTCTGACCATCCTTAGAGATACCAGCTTCAAAAACCACCAGTGGTGGAGTCAATGATCAATGATAAGGACGGCACAGTCAGCCTGGGAGGTTCCTGTAATCATGTTCTAAATGAAATCACGACGCCCGGAGCATCAATGACCGTGCAGTAGTACTTGGTGGTCTCAAACTTCCAGAGAGCAATATCAATGGTGATACCACGTTCCCTCTCAGCCTTGAGCTTGTCGAGCACCCAAGCGTACTTGAATGACCTCTTGTTCATCTCAGCATCTTCCCTCTCGAACCTCTCAATGACACGCTTGTCAATGCCACTAAGCTCGTAGATCAAGTGTCCAGTGGTTGTCGACTTCCCAGAGTAGACATGACCAATGACAACGATGTTAATGTGAAGCTTCTCCTTACCCATGGTTGATTCAAAGTAAAACTAAACTGCAAATACAGAAGAATATACCCCAATCAGTTACAAACATGAATAACAGGATTATATATATATATATATATATGAGGAATATGGGTATACTTGGGCCAAGGATCCTTGGTAGTGATGTGGACACATCTTGTCCATACATCACACCTTGGAGTTGGTGAGGCTCCATCTTCAAGGTGTGATGTATGGACAAGATGTGTCCACATCACTACCAAGGATCCTTGGACAATTCTAGAAGTAAAAAAATAAAATAAAAACTTAAACGTGTATTGGGGCTTATAAATCCTTGGTGCAGCATTTCTATTGTTTTAAAATAAATGCAACTATTCTTATGTCTGCATGTTGTTCTCTACCCAGAAAACAAAAAGAGCCCCAAAGGTAGAAGTAGGCACCAAGACCACAGAAGCTAATATGGATGAGTGGCTGCAGGTATGGTTAAATATTTCTTGTCTGTTCATTTTCTTCTGAAAATGATTGGAAGAGCCTGGTAATTTAATGATCTACCCATAAAAAAAAGGGAGCGCTATTTTGATTTTCTTTTAACCTTTGTTTTTGTTTTTATTATCTAGGGAACTGCATATGCGCAGTCTCTTTCAAGCAAGTCGAAGAAGAAAAAGTGAATTTACATGTCCTTACGGATTAATAGGGCACTGATTTGTTGTAGTTTGTAAACTACAGTAGTTTTCATAGAGGAAGAAGAATTTTCAGTTGCTTGCAAGACGTAGAGTTAAGTTTAGGTGAGGAGAATATTAATATGAGGTGATACTTGATAGTTCTGTTTCCTGTAATACTTAATCTGGGTACTGGATTTATTGACAGAAAAAAGGAATGGTAACCCAAGCTGTAGAATTTTGGCCAAATTGTCAAATTGAGCTGCCTTCATTTTCATATCTGGGTACTGGATTTAGTTAGCAATTGCAAACATTTTTTACTAGCTTTTTAACTGTTCTATTATGAGCAAGGTCTGCAATTTTGAAAGCAAAAAACCTAGTGAGTATATAAATTATTTGACATGGGATAAGAATATTGTTCTTAAGAAATACAGAGTATGCTTTCCCACCGGAAAATCAGCAGTAGAGATGGAATGGATTATTTTTAATTATCTTGGTGAATTTTCCAATGCTTAAGCACGTTATGTTACCCTCTGTTTACAGCTGAAGAACTAGTAAAATCCATCTGCATGTTGTGTATGATTTCTGTGCTTGGAATAAATTGACCGAATTAACTTTTAGAGTCAAATTAATCTAAGTTATTATTATCATTGACGTGTGTGAGGTATATTCATTAATAATGCTTTGGTGCATATTTAATGTCATGAACTGGATTCACTGAATATTTTTTATGAGCGGACAAGGCCAAGTTGTTGGTAGTTCTATGATTTGACGTGCGCCAATGTTGAGAAAAAAAAGATTATAGCACATATTGTTAGACAACAAACAAAGAATATTTCAAGATTAAGCCTCCAGCTCTACATGAAAAACAAGGTGAATGTATGACTATTCAATATGTGATAAACCTATAATTAATGAGTTAGTTTCTTGGGTCTGCGCGGTCTCAGTCAAATATTAATGTCTCAATGGGTACAATCTCTGTTCATATTAACAGACTGAGAAAAGATTATCTGGACAGAATAAATGTAGAAAAATTCGCTGAACCTTGCATTCCTTTAGGTCTTCACATTTGTAGTCTCCCGTTATGTATTTACTTTTGCGAGTATAGATTTCTGTCTTAGTCCAATGCATTTAGGTTACAGTTCTTTACCTGTTCCTCAAGAGTCCGGCTGCTAGAACAAGGAGAAGTTTTGTCTATTTACATCCATGATCAAGTTTACAAAGAATCGTGAATATCTTTGGGAACAATATTTGATCATAGTATAGCATCATTTGAGGAGAATGTTTGAGATGTTTTCATATTGTATTGTGTCGTTGTCCCCTCTTATCATATCATTGATCCTTGTGAACTTAATTAAATCAGGCACCATCAAAATAATTAAGATAGGAAAAATATTTATATCTGTGCAGATATCATACGGTCAGTGCTGAAATGGGCTGATATTTTGTTTGATGCTTAGATCTTAGATTTTACAAGTGAAGTCATCATAAATAATGATGCCTTTATTAACTGAATGCAAATATACAACAGATACACTCACAGCAAACTCACTCCTCCAGTAGTTCTAAAACTGTCAAGCAGATAGATACCTTGAGAACAATCTTTTACTAGAACACTGTAACATTTGAAGAAAAACTCAAGAAAAACTCATTAATTATAGCTTTTGTATCTGTAGCCGTGGATCATGGAGTCATCTTCAAGCAATCGTCGTGGACTATTGTGTCATTGTGGAAGGAGGGCTATACTCTCTAGATCTGGAACTAAGAAGAACCCTAGTCGATTGTTTTTGGGATGCGCTAATTGGAGAGAGAGTAACTGTGGATTCTTCAAATGGGTGTCTGATGAAGATGAGTTTGAAGGGTCAAAGGCAGAGCTTGTTCAGACGAATCAGTCGAGTGTGACGCCACAAGTTTCAAGAGCCGTGTCAAGTGGGGAAGTGCAGGAAAGGAGAAAGTTTTTACTTGATATTATGGATTTGCTGAAGGTTGTTGTATTTTCTCTTTTATTTGGTATTTTTATCGGATTTGTATTTGGTATTTTTATTGGATTTGTGCTAAGTAGGGTGAACTAATGTATTGTTGGATTTGTTGAAGTGTATGTTCTCTGCATGTGTACTAAATATGTTGCCTAGGTTTATGTTGAAGTGTTATGTTCTCTGTATGCTAAGGCTTATCAATGGTAATAAGTTTGCGGATGAAACATCATTCACTTGAAATCTCTATCAACAGGCGACATACTAGTAATCTTTTTATTTCCTCTTGATGTTGTGTTGAGTGTACATGCAAAGATGATATCCCACCCTTGTCAACAGGCGACATACTAGTATGCTCTAGCTTACATCCAGCTTATAGAACTGGAACACAAGTCAGCAACAGAACTGGAACACAAGTCAGCAACAGAACTGGAACACAAGTCAGCAACAGAACTTTGAACACCATATTCACAGATACATGAACACAAGTCTAGCTTACATCCAGCTTACATCATTAACACCCCAACAACTTTCTGATTCTAGTATTCTCTGAACACAAGTCAGCAACAGAACTGGAGCTCAAGTCAGCAACAAAACTTTATTTTCTGATTTTTCATACTAAAATTTGAACACCATATTCACAGATACATGAACACAACTTTCTTCTTCCCGCATCAGCATCAAAATCAAGTCACCCAAGAATATGGCAGTCAATCTCGGATGCAGAACAATCCAGCTGCAGAACAATCCAGCTGCAGAACTGGAGCAAAAGCAATCTCGGATGCAGAACATGAAACTTCATCAATCCAAGAACTGGAGCAAAAGCAAACCAATATCGGATGCAGAACAATCCAGCTGCAGAAGCTAAACATGAAACTTCATCAATCCAAGAATATGGCAGTCAAAACTTGGGAACCTTTAATCTATACAGTTAAGATGCTTAGTAATTGTGATACAGTAGAACTGTAGAAGTAAAATATAATGGACTTAACAATTCACTATTAAACACCAAGTCAGCAACAGAACCACCAAAAGATGAAACATCATTCACTATTAAACAATGAAATGGACTTAACAATTAAACAAAAGATGAAACATCATTCACTTGGGGTACCACACAAATACATAACCAAAGATACAAAACTAAACCCATTGGTGCTCTGCCTTCATCAACCCCTTCTCACCAATAGTGATATGATTTGCTCTGCCAACCTTGATTAAACTTCACACAATAGTGAGAACTTCATCTGTATTAAAAAAAATTAAAAAAACATTACAACTTTAGAGAAAACAAATGGCAATGCACAAGTTTAAAGATCATCCGTATGTATTAACCATTACCTTCCTCAAATGAATCTTCTAAATCATCCGTGGCTTCATCAATGTTATCTCGTTCCATTGAATCACTATAAAAAAATTTGATTATAGCAAAACATATTAAAGATCATTGCACCAACTTAAAAAAAGTTTAAAGAAATAGTATTATAGTATTACTAAAACAAATGATACACTACCTTGACAACTTTAGAGGGCAATTTCTGCTATCATGATTTTGTCCTCGCTTTCCACACAATTTGCATTTCCTAGGCCGGTATCTGCGGATCTCTCTCGATGGCTTTAACCTCTTCCCTTTAGGCCTTCCTTTTGTTCTTGCTTGACTTGGTTCATGAACTATATCTTGAGAACACTCCGCATCCACATCTTGTCCAATTTCTTCATCATTGATGAGTTTCAAACGTTGCACCTTATTAATAGCATCCATCATCATTTCACGCATTAATTCATATGCATCATTAGAAGATAGCCCCTCTTCGACCATTTCATTAGCTAAGCAATTTAGTTCACTAAAACGAGAAGCAAAATTAATTGTGGCATTATCTCCAATAATATTACCATCTCTAAGAACAACCCTTTTTCTGACATTTCGGCACCATCTTCTTAGAATATATTATTCCGGTAACTCACTATGATTGGTAAGTTTAAGATATGCCAAGATATGTCGGCATGGAATGCCCTTGAATTCAAACATGAGACACGAACAACGGACCATTTTAGTTGTTTTGCAATATATAATATGTCTCAATCTTTCATCATGACCACAAAAATTTAATTGGAAAGTACTTTCTCTTTCATTTTCTTTTACTAGCTCAATGTTATACATTAAGCTAGGTTGAAGCTCGTCTTGAAAAATATAAAAGATTTTTTTCGTGTAGATTTGGGCCATTTGTTTTTCCATTGACCATAAAGTCTTTAATTTTGGCTTTTTCTCTACTGTGCAATGATCTTCTTTAAGCTCCCCCTCTCTTTGTCTCGCCAAGACCCTCTGAAATATAGTCACGAAATCATGAAGTGAATTTTTCCTTGATACATGCATTTTTAGCAATGCATTCATCCCTTCACTTCTTTGACTGCTAGACATTCCGGCCCAAAAGTATTGTTTATGATAAACGGGAGCCCATTTTTCACGAATTTCATAGATATCATTTAGCCAATCATGCTTTTCCAATCCATTTTTCTTAATAATTGAAACCCATTTCTCTTCAAAAGAGCTAGCATCGTCGGAGTCCCAAATATTTTCTTTGAAAGATTTCATAAATTCCGTTCTATAAGCCAATTGACCCAACTTCTCCGGAACTTTGTCCAAGATATGCCAAATGCAAAACCTATGCCGAATTTCTGGAAAAACTGTTTCAATTGCCTTGCATATGCCAAGACATTGATCTGTAATCATGCCCGAAGGAGGATGACCCATTGCTTCAATCCATTTGTTAAACAACCATACAAAAGACTTCGCCTCTTCGTTTGGGATCAAGCCACATCCTAAAAAAACACTTTGCCAATGGTGATTTATGCCTACAAACGGCACAAATACCAAGCCATATTGATTTGTGTTATGCGTGGCATCGAAGGAGACAACATCGCCAAAGTGTTGATAATTCATTCGAGCAATGCCATCCACCCAAAAACAATGAGTTAAGCGCTTCTCTTCATCAACTTCATAAACATAATAAAATGAAGGATTCTTCTCTTGTTCCGACTTGAAATGATCCAACATCATTTGTGCATCATGACCGCGCCTCTCCTCTCTCAAATCTCTTTCATAATTTCTCACATCGGTCTCAATGCATCCAATTCTATGAAAACCTCCGCTAGAGTTTTCAAAGAAGGCCATTTGCTTGTTTGTTGGAATGTTCACCTCTCCAAACTGCTTAATTAATGTCTTCTTTGCACTTGTTACCTCACGGTTTCCCCTTAGAAAATGTGTTCTACTCGGTGAAGTAATTGTATGATTATGTTCTTCCACGAACTTGTAGACACTCCATTTGCCAATGTTTTTGTCTAATTTCAAGCGAATCAAGGCCTTACAATTTGTTCTAATTGTACCACATCGTCGAATTTCCAACGATTTGCTCTTTAACACTCCTTCTTTCGAACAAACAAAACTTTTGCCAATTAATTCTCTATCCTTCCCATAATTTGTTGTGCTATTACGGATATCAAAACCTCCGACCTTTCCGTAATTTCTGTAGAATTTTTCAGCATCTTCTAAACTGTCGAAAGTCATTCCTATTTTTGGTTTTAAGTGCTCACCAACAATTTGCACAACTAAGTTATCTAACTAAGAGATTTGTTCATCAACAACATGCGAACAACCATGTTTAGTTTCCATTGGATCAAACATCAAGAAGAAACATCAAGAATAATTTTTACTTACAAAAATAAACATCAAGAACAAACATCAAGAACAAACCATCAAAGACCACTGTGCACAAAAATAAACAAATGAATCCACATGAGACAAGAACAAACATGCTTATATATATATTTGACAGTAAACAGTAAACACCCGCAAATTGGAAGTGCATTGGACCCAAACCCCCGCAAAAACTAATATGTGACTTGGTACCACACTACCAAAGTAAAGAAGTTGCATATGATGCTATTTTTACATATGCAAACTAAAGTTACAACAACTTAAATCCGTGTGAGCTACAATATGTCAGAAACCAATTCCTCATACACTATAGTACCTTGCTCTCTCGTATATAAAGTTTCAGGTAACTATGGTCAGCTAGCACTACGAAGGTTTTTACCAACTTGGGTTCAACTCGAATTGGGATGAAAATCGATGAGTTGAATGGATTATTCAATTGGACAAAATTTGAAGACCGGCGAGATCGACTGTTAGGCCTCAATTGGACAAAATCGATGAGTTGAATGGATTATTCAGGTAACTATGGTCAGCTAGCACTACGAATGTTAGGCCTCAAATTCTACAGAAAAGAAATCGATGAGTTGAATGGATTATTAAATTGGACAAAATTTGAATTACAGAACACAACTAATCAAACAGCTAATTTAGGTCCAACCTGGAGCTTGTTCAGTGCCGAAAACTTCTCAGTGGAGCAAAGAGGAGAGGAGGGGTTGGGGAGCTCGACGGCGAGATCACGGGGGTGAAGACCGGCGGCGACGGGGCTCGCGGGCTTGGCTCCGACGGAGGCGAAGACCGGCGGCGGACGGAGGCAGAGTATATGACAGTTACGGAGGCTGTGAAAGAGGCTATTTGGCTTCGAGGACTTTTGGAGGAACTTGGTATATCGCAGAGGTCCGTCACTCTTCATTGTGATAGCATGAGTGCTATCTATTTGGCGAAGAATCAGGTTTTTCATGCGCGGACGAAGCACATTGATGTTCGTTATCACTTCGTTCGAGATGTTCTTGAAGATGGTGATGTGGAAATTGTGAAAGTCCACACGAAGGATAATCCGGCGGATATGCTCACTAAGGTGGTTCCGAGCAACAAGTTTGATCATTGTTGAAACTTGTTGCATATTCGTGATTGTTGAGGCCGTTGACGGCCATTTGGGTGAACTACGTGCGGCCTGATCCCTTCTGACATTTGGAGAGTGTTTGCATTCTCATTTGGGTTCTCGACTTGTTGTGGATTGAGTCCGTACTGGACACAATAAGTGGGACATTTGGTTGCTTTGGTGTCGGCTCAGTTTTGGGAAAACTTCACCGAGGTGGAGAATTGTGAACGTGGGTCTACCACGTGTATGAGAAAGAGAACGCGGTTTGTTTCCGCGTGAAGCCGGCCCACGAACCAACTGCTCCCTATATAAACAATACTTTATTAGGTTTTTAGGGTAGCATTGAGGGCTTGAGTTGCGGCTACAGAGAGTGCAAGGCTTGATTGATTTTGAGGGGTTGCGGCTGTGCACTTGTGCGGCTACAGGAAAGGTGCAAGCAGGATCGGAGTTTGGTTCCTTTCTCTAGGGTTTTGTGCAGCCTTTTGTAGAGAGATATTGTGAGGGATTTGAGAGATTGTAAACCCTAGTTGTAATCTCTCCCTCTAATAGTAGATCTCTCCCCTCCTTGCCCCGTGGCCGTAGGCAATTTGCCGAACCACGTAAAAATTAGTTGTATTGCTTTTGTGTGATTTGTAATAGCTTTTAGGGTCCCTCGACGCGCAGTCCTGGAGCTGACGAGAGGAAGAGCAAATATCCCACTTTGATGGGATATTAGGCTTCAGATTCTTATTTCCTTTGAGAAACAAGAATTCTTATTGCGACCTGACTCTCTTGTTGTGCTGCCGAAGTGCTGCCGAAATTTCCGTTGCGCGCAACAAGTGGTATCAGAGCCCAGATTTTAGATCTAGGGTTTTGGAGTTTGGTGGAGGAAGATTTTTTGTGTGAAGCTTGGTTCTTGGAGTTCTAGGCTTCGGTGGAGATAGCATTAGGAGTTGCCGTTGGAGATTTTGCTTTCCTCATGTGGTTAGGAAATCTATTTGGAATCCGATCTAGGGTTCAGTTGGGTGGTTCCTAATTTCTATCAAATTTGTTCTTTCTCTACAATTTGGAGTTAGTTTGCAATGGGAGAAGAAGGTGAAAGCAGCAAATCGATGGCGGCTACAATACAAGTTGGTTTTCAGAACACCAAAATTAGTGTGGTGAAATATGACGGAAAAATCAACTTTGGTTTGTGGATGAGCGACGTACAAGATGCGCTCAATGCTCAGAATTTGGAAGAGACCATCATGGTCCACGAGAGGCCACCTAAATATGAAGAGGCGGTATGGGAGAAAATGAATAGGAACGCTTGTGGGGTGATCAGGTCCTGTTTGGAACAGGAGCTGAAATATGATGTGATTGGGGTGACGTCTGCAATGAAGATGTGGGAAATTCTCAACAACAAGTATCTCACAAAGAGTGTTGAGAACAGGTTGCACTTGCTGCGAAGACTCTTCAGATTTCAGATGTCCAGAGGCACCTCGCTAGCGGCTCATGTGAATAACTACACTAAGTTGTTGTCGGACTTAGAAGGTTTGACCAAGTGGGTGTTTTGAGACAATCCTAACTGTAGGAAGGTTTGATCGCTCAATTTGTGGACCTCTCGTTCATTGGGGGAATCGAGAGGGGATTTTGACTGTGGTCCTAACTGTAAGAAGGTTTGACCAAGTGGGTGTTTTGAGACAATCCTAACTGTAGGAAGGTTTGATCGCTCAATTTGTGGACCTCTCGTTCATTGGGGGAATCGAGAGGGGATTTTGACTGTGGTCCTAACTGTAAGAAGGTTTGACCAAGTGGGTGTTTTGAGACAATCCTAACTGTAGGAAGGTTTGATCGCTCAATTTGTGGACCTCTCGTTCATTGGGGGAATCGAGAGGGGATTTTGACTGTGGTCCTAACTGTAAGAAGGTTTGACCAAGTGGGTGTTTTGAGACAATCCTAACTGTAGGAAGGTTTGATCGCTCAATTTGTGGACCTCTCGTTCATTGGGGGAATCGAGAGGGGATTTTGACTGTGGTCCTAACTGTAAGAAGGTTTGACCAAGTGGGTGTTTTGAGACAATCCTAACTGTAGGAAGGTTTGATCGCTCAATTTGTGGACCTCTCGTTCATTGGGGGAATCGAGAGGGGATTTTGACTGTGGTCCTAACTGTAAGAAGGTTTGACCAAGTGGGTGTTTTGAGACAATCCTAACTGTAGGAAGGTTTGATCGCTCAATTTGTGGACCTCTCGTTCATTGGGGGAATCGAGAGGGGATTTTGACTGTGGTCCTAACTGTAAGAAGGTTTGACCAAGTGGGTGTTTTGAGACAATCCTAACTGTAGGAAGGTTTGATCGCTCAATTTGTGGACCTCTCGTTCATTGGGGGAATCGAGAGGGGATTTTGACTGTGGTCCTAACTGTAAGAAGGTTTGACCAAGTGGGTGTTTTGAGACAATCCTAACTGTAGGAAGGTTTGATCGCTCAATTTGTGGACCTCTCGTTCATTGGGGGAATCGAGAGGGGATTTTGACTGTGGTCCTAACTGTAAGAAGGTTTGACCAAGTGGGTGTTTTGAGACAATCCTAACTGTAGGAAGGTTTGATCGCTCAATTTGTGGACCTCTCGTTCATTGGGGGAATCGAGAGGGGATTTTGACTGTGGTCCTAACTGTAAGAAGGTTTGACCAAGTGGGTGTTTTGAGACAATCCTAACTGTAGGAAGGTTTGATCGCTCAATTTGTGGACCTCTCGTTCATTGGGGGAATCGAGAGGGGATTTTGACTGTGGTCCTAACTGTAAGAAGGTTTGACCAAGTGGGTGTTTTGAGACAATCCTAACTGTAGGAAGGTTTGATCGCTCAATTTGTGGACCTCTCGTTCATTGGGGGAATCGAGAGGGGATTTTGACTGTGGTCCTAACTGTAAGAAGGTTTGACCAAGTGGGTGTTTTGAGACAATCCTAACTGTAGGAAGGTTTGATCGCTCAATTTGTGGACCTCTCGTTCATTGGGGGAATCGAGAGGGGATTTTGACTGTGGTCCTAACTGTAAGAAGGTTTGACCAAGTGGGTGTTTTGAGACAATCCTAACTGTAGGAAGGTTTGATCGCTCAATTTGTGGACCTCTCGTTCATTGGGGGAATCGAGAGGGGATTTTGACTGTGGTCCTAACTGTAAGAAGGTTTGACCAAGTGGGTGTTTTGAGACAATCCTAACTGTAGGAAGGTTTGATCGCTCAATTTGTGGACCTCTCGTTCATTGGGGGAATCGAGAGGGGATTTTGACTGTGGTCCTAACTGTAAGAAGGTTTGACCAAGTGGGTGTTTTGAGACAATCCTAACTGTAGGAAGGTTTGATCGCTCAATTTGTGGACCTCTCGTTCATTGGGGGAATCGAGAGGGGATTTTGACTGTGGTCCTAACTGTAAGAAGGTTT